CATCTGTCGATGGACATTTAGGTTGCTTCCATGTCTTGGCTATTGTAAATAGTGCTGCTATGAACATTGGGGTGCAGGTGTCTTTTTGAATTAAGATTCACGGAAGGTTATTTTGATTTGCCATTCAAGTGACTGTACCACTAAGCACATTGATTCTTGATTCATATGTTGAACCATTGACATATGATTCCTTATTTTTATAGGTTCAGTGTTATAAATTGGGGTTCCAATCCCATTTCATATCTCAAAAATACCTAAAAGCTGAATAGTAAGATAAGTGAAAGTGAATGCCCCAGAAGTATTTTACATAGACATTTTTATATGTATATAATCAAATACTTAATAAAAAGCATTGTCATACACCATACTCGTTGGAGGGTTTTTGGAGTAGATGGAAATGATCAGGTTTTTTCCAAATAGAAGTCCATTGCAATTTTTTGCTGAAGATGCCTTCTTGATAAAATTCCCAGAGTTAGCAATAAGCATTTTTCATTTCTTGACAGAGTTTCATACTGAATTCAATATAAGCAACATCTGTTTTTTTTTTAAATCTCATTGTTAGTTTCATGTGGGAGAATGGAATGATCTGAGTGTCTTGGGGCAGTATGTCTCTTTGAGAGCCATGTCTGTGCTCACTTCTTTGGGTCCCTGGCTTGTCCCATGCAGGTCTCAGTATTGCGGGGACGTGGGAGTATCCCTTGTTGCAGTTATCAGGAATTGGTTTCCATTTCCTTTCATCTGATTTCCAGGTGCTTTAGACACACAAAAACGAATTCACTCAAGGAATTAATTTTTTTATAGAGTGAGGTAAGTATACAAATAATTGACATCAGGGGGTACTCATAGATGCTGTAAGAGATATATATTATAGAGTGTTATGGAAATTGAAGGAATGAAAGGTTTATTTTCATATATGTAATCTAGTAAGTCATTTGAGCTGTGCCTCAGATTGAGTAGAATTTGGACATACGAAGATGATGGTGTGTGGTGTAAACTCTAGGTCTTAAATTCTGTTATTTCTAATAATTCTTTCCTTAGTGTAAGTAAGTCATGGAGAACTTAAATTTAAAAAGAAATTAATGAATATAAAGGTAATCCATGTTCATTGTGAAACATTTTGAAACAGTTTGTTATGTATATGAAAAATATAAAGAAGAAAATCCAGTCTCTCTGCCCCGATAACTACTGTTGACGTGAAGTGAGTTTCCTTCTGTTTTCAGAGGCAGTCACTTTTTTTAAAGTTAAGAGTTGAATACAGTTAATATTCTAGATCAGAGGTCGGCAAACTTTTTCCGTAAATGGCCAGATAATAAATATTTTTGGCTTTGAAGCTGCATAGTCTCTGCTGCATATTTTTCTAATTCTTAACTCTTTAAAAATGTAAAAAATATTCTTAACTTGAAGTCTGTGGATTGTTTTTGGCTCAGAGTCTACAGTTTGCTGAACCCCTGTTTTGGATTTATTTGCAGTGATCTTGCTAAGCAAAATGACCCAGTATTGATGGAGAAATTCTTTTCTTAATAGAATTGCAAAACTCTTAATACTGTCCAGGTATTTTTGGTTTTTTGAATAAAATACTGAGTGTTAATATTTATTATTTTCATTTTCAGATGGTGACCCTGATAACTACATTGCTTACTATCGGAGAGCTACTGTCTTTTTAGCTATGGGCAAATCAAAAGCAGCACTTCCTGATTTGACTAAAGTGATTGAATTGAAGATGGACTTCACTGCAGTAAGTGCATCTCAACTTTCTTTAAAGGAGAATTTAAGGGAACTTGGAAGAGGTGACTTGTTTGCTTAGGTGAGGACTGGCGTGCTAGGCACAGCTGGAGGATGTAGTAAGCTGCTGTGGGGTAGTGGACTGTGCAACCGGAGAAATTCAGTCCCTGGAATCACAGGTGGTCTGTGTGAAGAAGGAACAGTGGAGTGGGTCCATTGGGTGATTTTTAGAAACTGGGCAGTGATGTTAGCTTCGTGGTTGGGAAAGATATCTGTGTGGAGGATGGAGTGTAGAGCAAAGACATGAGGCTGAGAAATGAGCTGATGAAGAGGCTGTTGAATTAGAGGCTGTCAGGTGACTGATGATAGTTGCAGTTAAGGCTGTAGTGGGAAGAATAAAGAAGAGGGGTAGCCCAGTGAAGCAGTGGTTTGTGATGGGGATACAATGCTGAATTAGACAGAGTCCTCCCCTGAACGAACACTCAAGCTTCAGAAGTGGAGGAATTTACAGTCTAATGGGATATCCTGACAATTGACAGCTTCACTGTAATGGCTTAAAATAATAGAACCAACTATCCTGTTTCAAAATTAATTTGGTAATTCATTTATTGTTTATGTCCTGCCATAATCCAGAAAGGCTATGAGATGACTGATTAGATATGGATAAATATTTGGCTTGAAATATTACTATTTTAAGGTGGAATTCACAAGTGTCAAATTTTTCTTTAATCTGTTATTTTACCTAGCTAACCATAACCTTCCACAAAGGTTAAGTAGCTCATTTTCCTAGTATTAAAGTAGCTCTCAGATAGTTAAATTGGCTTTAATCTTGTTTTTTATTTGTGTTTATGCATTTAACAGGATTAGGGAAATTTTTATGTACTTTAAAGGTAATGTAGAAGTTTTCCTAGAATATTGATGTGATTTTGGTAGACATTGATCATCAGAGAGTTGGAATTCTTAGAAGAGATGATGGGATTATGCACATTAGAAAGGGAATGTCAGAGATGAAGGGGGAGGAATTGATGCATGTTAAAAGGAAGAGGCATTTTTATTCTTGGAGTAAATATGCACATTAGGAGTTAATAAAAAACCAAAACTATTTCCAGAGCTTTGATTGGTAAAGCCCCAGATTACACAACTCTTATTATAGTGGCAAAAATTTATTATGATGGCGTAAGTTAACGTTTTAAGTGAGATATAATCCACATATCATCAAATTCACTTTTTAAAAGTATATTTACAAAGTTCTGCAAGCATCCCCATTATCTGGTTCCAGAACCCCCCCCCAAAAAACTCTGTATCAATTAGTAGTCACTTCCCATTTCTGTCCTAGCCCCTGGCAGCCACTTATGTTTCTGTCTATGGATTTGTCTGTTTTGGATATTTCATATTAAATATGTGTCTTTTGTGTCTGACTTCTTTCACTTAGCATAATGTTTTCAGGGTTCATCCGTATTGTAGCATGTGTCAGTATTTCACATTCCTTTTTACGGCTGAAAGTTATTCCATTATATGGATGCATCACATTTGCTTATTGATTTATTGATGGGTATTTGGGTTGTTTCTGCTTTTTGGCTATTGCTATGAACATTCATGTACAAGATTTTGTAAGAACACATGTTTTTATTTTTATCTTTTGGATATAGTAAAAAGTATTTTTAAGGAAGCATATTTCAACAAAATTTATGCACATTCATTGGTTCTATGAATTATTCTCAGAGTGCCAAGTCAAATAGGCATAGGAAAAGTGAATATTTCATTAGCTTATTTACTTTTATTCTTTGTATTTAAAGAAAATTTAGGAATTCGTAGTACTCAGGATACCCTTTTTTTTTTCTAGGCAAGATTACAGAGAGGTCACTTACTACTCAAACAAGGAAAACTTGATGAAGCAGAAGATGATTTTAAAAAAGTGGTAAGTTCAGTTTGTATGTGGCTCTGTGAATGTTATTTTGAGTGAACATATTGGACTTTTTTTATATTAAGACATTTAATAATAATTTCATACCTGAAAGGTAACTTGTGTATGTAAGAATCATAGTTCCTGAATTAATATTTAGTGGCTGACATCAAAGCATCACTTTAACAGATAGAAGGGGAAGTGTTTGGGATAGATAGTAATCCCGATTCAGTTCATACAGCTCACGTTCTCCATAAGAATCTAGAGATGTCAGCTGAGCTATTCTAAAAGTCGTCTGAGTGACTTGGGAAACCCTTTATTTGATTTGAAAGGAATAATGAAACAGATTCTTAAAAGGGAATTTTGCAATCCACCCGCATGGCTACTTTACGCAGTATAAAGGTTTTGGATTTGTTCAGGAGGATGTTACAGATTACATGTAGCTGAAGAAATTTTATCCTGAAAAATGATTTGAGGGAAGCAACTTGCTGATGTCTTTATCCCCTCATTGGATTTGTTTTAAGACCTGCTTTTTTGTTCCACATGAATTTGATTCTGGAGTGGTCTAGGAAGGGTAGTTATGTGTGTGTATGTGTGTGTGTGTGTATATATATATATATATATCTCCCTTTGTTCATTATTTGCATTTCCGTAGTTTATTAAAATGCTTAGTTACTATGACAATAACCATGATGAAAATAAAACTAAACTTTCTAATGTTTCATAACCTTTGTCATAATACTCAGTCATATGCAGACAAATCCAAAACACATTAGATGTTAATTGTATTGAATCAAAGCTATCTCATGGTCTTAATAAAATTTAGTGTCATTTTATGTTTATCTGATCTTCTCTGCTACCTGGGAACTTGCTTGAGAGCAGGCTGACGGACGGGTGATGGGGAGGCAACGGTGCTGGAGTAACCTTTCCCTAGGTCAGTCCTGTGTACATAGCAAGTGCTGTGTAAAAATTCATTGAATGGATGAATGATAAAATGTAAGAATGTGTTTCCTTATTTTTAACAATGCTTTACATTTGTTACTTGGAATTTTTTTTCCAGTTACAACATTAGAGTAGAAATAGCACATTTTAGAATAAAGCTTTAGCACAAATTAATTCTTATGGAACGTTGGCTGTATGCTTTTGGAAAAGTGTGACTATTTCTGGAGTTGTCATTTCTGTCATCAATATTAAAACCTCTTAGAAATAAGAAGGGAACTTTCATGAGACTTTACACTTTTAGATTGTTCTCTGACAGTCATGCTTCTGACAGTGTGTTCTTCAAATTGCCTTTGCTCTTATTGTCATAGGATTCTTCCATGAGTATGTGCATCTGTATTGAGTGATATTTTCTTTTAAATTGAAGTCTTTGTTAAGATAATTGTAGATTCCCATGCAGTTGTAATTAATAATACGGAGAGATCCTGTGTGCCCTTTACCTGATACCCAGTTTCTCCCAATGATATCATCTTGTAAAACTGTAGTATGGTATTACAGTCAGGATATTGATGTTGAATGTAATCTACCAGTCTATTCATATTCCTCAGTTTTATTAGTATTCATTTCTTTCTGTGTCTTAAATTCTGTGCACTTTTTCCCGTGTCCATCCCCAGTCAAGATACTGAACAAGATACTGAACAGTCCGCAAGGATCCCTTCTGTTGCCCATGTATTACCACATTCACCTCCCTGCCGTCCTGCTCCAGCCCCTCGTTCATATCTGACAAGCATTAATTTGTTAGTCATTTCTTAAATTTTGACATTTCAAAAATGTTGCAAACATGATATCAAGTGTTATGTAACCTTTTGGAATTGACTTTTTTACTCAGCATAATTCCCTGGAGATTCATCCAGGTTGTTGCATGTATCACTTAGCTGTTCCTTTTAATTGCTGAGTGTTGCGTGGTATGTATATGATGCATTTTATTCATCTGTTCCTCAGTTGATGGACATTTTGGGTGGTTTCTACTTTTTTGCTATTATGAATAAACTGCTGTGAACACTCTTGTACGGGCTTTAGTGTGAATGTAAGTTTTCATTTGCCTGGGATAAATGCCCAGGAGTGTAATTCTAGGTTCTATGGTAATTGTTTAGTTTTATAAGAAACTGTCCAGTTGCTTTCCAGAGTAACTGTGCCATTTTGCATTCCTCTGCCTCCTTGTCAGCATTTGGAATTGTCACTATTTCTTATTTTAACCATTGTGATAGGTGTGTAGCAATAACTCATTGTTATTTTAATTTACATTTCCCTAATGGCTAATGATCTTTTCATATGCTTTTTTATCACATACGTGATTGTAAATATTTTCTCTAAGTCTGCAGCTGGTCTTTTCATCCTCTTCGCAGGGTCTTTCACAGAGCAGAAGTTTTAAATTTTGATGAAGTCCAATTTATCAATTTTCTTTTATCTTCTATGGATCGTACTTTAGATGTCATCTCTAAGAACTAATCACCAATTAAAGAATTCTTATATTTTAATTTTTGTGATTTGTGAATACACATGATATCTGCTTTTTCTGTATATTCCCTTAAATAAGCTTTTTATAGCTTTTAAGAGCATTTTCCTGTAATTTACCTATAAATTATATCAAAGATTTTCATCTTACTGATAAAAGTCCTGTAAACAGTGAGGTAGATACATTCACTTACAAATTTTACACACTGAAACAGAGGTTTGAATATGCTTAATCCCTTCCTGGCCTACATGAGGGTCTCGTACTTTAAGTATACAGGTTACTCTGCTGCCAGTAGGTCTCCTGTAAACAAGTGTCACCCCAGGTCCATGCTGGTTGGCCTAGTCCTACACGAGATCTATTGGTTTGGTTTGTCTTCAAGCTATCAATGACTCCTGCTGTAACCAGTGCCTACGGTCATTTGTCAGTTCAGCGAGCATTTCAGTGCATATTATTTGTGAGGCAGAGTGGTGGGTGTTAGAGGATTGCTGACAAAGAAAACTAGTCTCTGCCTTTGGACTGATTATACCAGGGACAGAACTAATCAGGCAAGTATGATGCCATATGATCAGTGCTATGATTGAGCCCTGTGGGAACATACAGAAGGGTCACCTAACTTAGCTGGGATTTGGGGATCTGGAGTCAAGAAGGGCTTTCCTAAAGGAGGGAAAGTGCTTGAGTTCTGAATATTGAGAGTGAATCTGTGTTAGCAAGGTAAGTGGGAGGACCATCCAGGTGGAAGGTGAGCAGCCTGTGCAAAAGCGGGAGGAAGGAAAGAGCCTCTCATTTAGGAAGATGATGTCTCTGGTAAAATTGAGCCGGGATATGAGAATGTTGGACAGGGAAGCGGGGTCTCTTTGCAGGAAGGACACATGCGGTGCCAGGGGCTGATTCTTCATAGCCGTGGGAGGTTTATATTGAATGTCATGACCAGATTTTCACTTTGGTAAAATCCAGGCTGCTCTGGAGAATGGGCTGGAGGAAGACAAGGGTGGAAGCAGTGGTCTGGTAATAGAGCTGTTGCAGTAAGTAATCTAAGAGTGACCTTATGGAGGCCAAAGATGAGGCTAGAGTAGGTAGGGATTAAGAGATATAGGTGGACATTTAGGAGGTTAAAGAAAGATGCAGTGATTGTGGTTAAGGGAGGAGGAAGAATTAAGTATGATGCCCAGGTTTCTGGATTGTTCAAATTGATTCATGTCCATTCTATTCCCTGAGAAGGAGCCAGAGAGAAATTATTTAGGGGAGAAGGAAGGGTAGAGAAAAATACGGCTCTCCTATACTTATAAAAACTCACTGATTTTTAGCAACTCATTTAATAATTTGTAATCTTTGAGTTCTTCCTTTTTAATTCCAAAATCTAACATACAGTAAATATACAGTTTAAACTTGTCTTTTGTTGATATTCAGCATTTTACTTGTCTTTGCTTATCTTTATTTTATTTTTGCTATCCATGCTTTGGGTTTAAGTGAAAAAATATTTAGACTTAGGCAGTGTTCCATAAAATCCAAATATAATGAAGGTAATGATCAATTTAAATGTTTACATTTCTACGTGTTTTATTCTGACAGAGCTAGCAATGTGTGTTTTGATTGTGGTGAAGAACCATATATTAGGTAAATATCAGTTCCAGTTGCAATTGGATTTTTAAATCAAAGGTATAAACCTTTGGTAAGATTTAATAAATAAACTCTCCATTGGTAGCTTGTAGATTGTGTTAATTAAAAACAAGTCAAACTAACATAAATCCACTATATATCGACATAACTTTAGGCATTTTTTTTTAACTTTAATTGTATAATGCAGAAAGGATGATTATATTGCCTCAAGATAATTGAATCAGAAATTATGAAAATTAAAAAAAATTTTGGTTATAATTTAATGTGCTATGCCTCAGTAATTGTTCTGGTTTTCTTTGAATCAGGTATAATACTGGATCATATACCATAATTCACAAAATATAAGGAGCCATCGACTGTAAGAAACATCAATGTGCTCTTAAAAGAAATAATGCTGCCAGTTAAATAATGCCTTCCTATAACTTAATATTCTTACTTTATAGAATGAGCTACTTGAGACTTAGACATGTATTTTTGTTATATCACATTGCTTCTCCTCTAGAGTGTGGAATGGAGCTGGTAACTCCTTGTTGAAAAAAGAGACAATATATAAACCTCCTAAAACCACCACATAAGCCTGTTAATAAGCTATTACTCTCTTACTTTTCCCTTTAAGGTCTTCCTTTCTTATTAGACCTTAACCCCTCTGGTATCAAATCTTTTTTTATTCAGATTCCTTATACTTTTCATTATTTTGGTAAAATTATTTTATACTTAAAAATACTTAAGAAATAATAACTAGAAAGCAAAACACAGAAAACTCAAGCTGTTCTGCAGAGATATACGTGAGGAAGGTGCTTTCCTTACTTAATTCTTCTCTACCTTTTTATATTCCTGAATATGTTTGCTTCCTGGGAAGTTTTGGCAACCCAGGTCTTTTGACTCTAGCTCAATTGCTCGTTCTTGTGGACCACGTTGGTGGGAATAAAGACTGTCCTTCAAAAGAGAAAAAAAGATGCCTCTGCTGCTGCTTCCCATGGTGATCTGCACCAGGGGGCAAGTCATTGGAGAAGCCAGTTGTGCAGTGTCTCTCTGCCCTTTTCCCCCAACGAATGAAAGTACTTGTAAGGGTCAGATTGTTGGATATATTATGGTTGTTAGACTCAAGAGATGAAAAACCTTGTTTAATTTCTTTTATTGTTACAGCTCAAATCAAATCCAAGTGAAAATGAAGAAAAGGAAGCCCAGTCCCAGCTTCTGAAATCGGATGAGATGCAGCGTTTGCGTTCACAAGCACTGGATGCTTTTGCAAGCTCAGATTATCCTGCTGCTATAATCTTCCTTGATAAGATTTTAGAGGTAAGTGTCTTAGATACTGCAGCTGACAAGCCTAAGCTTAACTGCTTTTTACTGTAAGGCAGGTTCATACTCTTTGACGTGTTGCATACCACAAAAAACCTAGATGGCATGAAATCAGACTGACCCTTGAGCTTTCCGCTCTTAACTGAAAGGTGGTGTTTATGTGGAACAAAATTTGGGACCGAAAATTTCAGTAAATGTACTGAAGGTGCTGTCGTGTAGTAGTTATGTATTTTTATACATTGCCTACTTTGCTGTTTGTTTGATTTTGCATCTTTCGAGGGGAAGAAAACTCTAGAGGTTAGATAATGGGGTAAAAGATGAAAGAGTTCATTGAAGAAACGGTAAGGTTTGGGAGGAAAGAGGAATACTTACAGTGAGAAGTTTCTAGGGAAGAAGGCAGATGAAGAGTTGATAGGGTCCAGAGGGTTCTAGAGAGGCAAATCTAAGTCTGCCTCTGCAAGGACTTAATGACAAAGGACATAATGATTTCAGAAGGAAGTCTAATAAAGTATTCAAGTGAGGGCAGTCATAATTCATATTTATCATTTTTCACAGCGCTTTTGTAGTTTCATTTAATGCTGGCAATAAACTTGTGATGTATGTAGAATGGCCACTTTTTGATAGTTTTAGAGAAGAAATTGTGTGAGGTGGTCGAGGAATTCATGGTTCAATCAATTATTTCATTAATGCTTTATTAAGGAAATATAAAGTTATAATTTTTACCTTCCAATAGACTGTCCATCTTGACCTAGCTTGTTGTCCATGGTATTTAATTTATGTACAGTGTTGATTTTGATTTCTTACTGTATGTGAAACGTTCACTTGACTTTAGAACAGCTCTAAGAAATATGTAAGGATAATTATACAGGTGTTGTTAGTGAGCTTTTGGGTTTATATTTTGAAGAATACTAGTGGTTTACTAAACGTTGTCAACTTTTTGATAAAATACAAATGGCGAAGCCTCAGCCTTCTCACATTGTTTTTCTCTTTATCTTTGTGATATAAAGATTTAAATTCAAGGAGGTGACATTTTACAAAAGCATTTCATTCAGTTATTAGTAGAATAAAAATATTTTGTGAATTTAGAGCCTGGATTTTATTTTTTGAAACTAGAAATTAGAATTGTTGATTAAATACAAAAATCTGGTTAGAGGATATTCTCTTCAAAATCAAATATGCTTCACTGGGAAACACCTTCTGATAGTAAATGCCATGTTTTCTTATTTTCAAAGTTTTAGAATTACATAATTGAAGAGGGCAGGAAAAGGGCCTTGTTAGTATATACATCCCTTACCCCATGGGAATTTATTTAAGATTTCCTTGGAGAAATTATTTTGTCACATCTAAATTGTATTAGATTTTTTTTTTGTATCGGACTTTAAAAAATGAATTACAGTGTAGAATTCATATATTAATTGAGGATGTTTTATGTTGATACATATGTAGATAAAATGTGGGGTGAAGTACAAATGTGCATAATTTACTATTTCTTTAAGTCTAGTTCTTTTGTTTCTCAAGGTTTGTGTTTGGGATGCAGAACTACGGGAACTTCGAGCTGAATGTTTTATTAAAGAAGGGGAACCTAGGAAAGCGATAAGTGACTTAAAGGCTGCATCGAAATTGAAGAATGATAATACTGAGGCATTTTATAAAATCAGCACACTGTATTATCAACTAGGAGACCATGAACTGTCCCTCAGGTCAGTTCTGGTGACATACACATGTCATCATTTTTTTATTGCTGGCAGTAGAATAATACTCCCATTTTCTTTTTAATTTTAATTTTAAATTAATAAAATTATGGTTAAGGCTTCTTTTGTATATCTATAATTTTGTGTTACCTCTAAGTTATTCTGCTTCCATATAGTTTATTTTCATGAAGTATGCTTATTAAAATAAGTAACAGGGCTATTATAGTTAAAGAAGTAAAATACAGTGTTTAATATATATATCTCTACTTAAGTCATTTGAATTTGAATTAATGTGTGTGTATAATACAATGCCATATATTAAAGTATATGGTAAATTATTAAGTCAGTATGTGTTGTGTAATTGTTACAGGCAAAAAAATACCTTTAGTTGTGATTTCTCTATTTAGTATGAATAACTACTTATTGATTATTTTGACTTGGAGTATTTTCCTTTTTTTTAAATATGTGAACAGTGAAGTTCGTGAATGTCTTAAACTTGACCAGGATCATAAAAGATGTTTTGCACACTATAAACAAGTAAAGAAACTCAATAAGCTGATTGAGTCAGCTGAAGAGCTCATCAGAGATGGCAGGTAAGAACATGCTTGTCCAGACGACCTCACCTCCCCTTACGTGTCTGCTGGTGGGCACGACAGCACAACTGAGCTGCTTGCTCTTTTGTTCCTCGCCGTCGAGGGTAGAGGACCTTAGAGGGCACTGGGCCTCAGCAAAACTGCCACAATTGTACATTTACTGAATAAAGCGGAATATCAGTACTGATAACTGCATAGTATTCTTACCAACAGATTTATTTATATTTCACCAAATATTTGTTGAATTTCTCTTGTATCAGGCACTGACTATGTACTGGGGGTGCAGAAATGAGTATGACTGTAGTTTTTAGACTTAAGAAGCTTATAGTTTAGTGTGGGAGATAGGCGTATAAATTGATTATTGAAAGGTAGTGTGATGTCTAGAGTGATAGCGATGTATACAGTGAATGCAGAAGTTTTCCCTTGGTATGGGATTCTGGGTTAAGAGTTTTTTTGTTACAGCACCTGAAAAATATTGTGCCACCTCTCTCTGGCTTCTGCGGTTCCTGATGACAAATCTGTTTTCATTCTAATTGTTTTTGTCCTCAAGATAAGGTGTCATTTTCCTCTGACTGCTTTTTAGATCGCTACTTTGCCCTTTGTTTTCAGAAGTTTAATTATGATATATCTCAGCATGGATTTCTTTGTGTTACCCTATTTGGAGTATTCTTAGCTTTTAGAATATGTACATTTATGTCTCTTGTCAAATTTGGGAAGTTTCCAGCCACTATTTCTTGGAATACTTTTTTAGCCATGCCCTCTTGCTGTTTTCCTTTTTAGACTCTGATTAACGTAAATATTAGATTTTTTGTTATAGCCCCACAGTCCCTGAGGTTCAGGGTCCCCCCCATTTGTTCTCTCTCTGTTGTTCGGGTTTGATAATTTCTGTTGTTCCAATTCACTGTTTTCTCTGTCCCCTACAGTCTGCTGTTGAACACATTCAGTGAGCTATTTATTTCGGTTTTTATATTTTTCAGTTCTAAAAATTTTATTTGGAATTTTTAAATCTTCTATTTGTTTGCTGAGACTTTCCATTTGTTTGCTGAGGCATTCTGTTCTTTTATTTGCTTTAAGCATGTTTGTTATTGCTGGGTTTTTCATGGCTGCTTTAAAATCTTTGTCAGATAATTCTAACATCTCTGTCCTCTTGATGTTGATTTGAGATCTTTCTGTTTCTTCCCGTGATGAGTGTTTCCTCCTGCCCCTCCCTGCCATGAGTGGTTTTTAATTGAAACCTAGACATTTTCATTTTATCAGATTCTGCTTTTGTTTAAATCTTCTGTTTTGAGTGGCTTTTTTTCTGACATTGTTCCAGCAAAATGAGGGAGAGGGGCTGGAGAGTGGGCACCGCCGAGTCACTGCTAGATGGAGGTAGAAGTTTCCCTCTTGGTCTCCATTGCTGCTCAAAGTGTGTGGGATTCTTGCTACTGCTTGGTGTAGGTGAGAGTTTTGGGGACTTAATTCTGGCCATGGATGAAAGTTTTGGCTCCCAACTTAGCCTTCTCGGACACCACTTCGGTAGGGGTATGAACACACCTCATTACAGGCTCACCAGGGAAGAAATCTAGGCTTTCCATTTGACCTGCTGATCTGATGTTGGTGGGGATGGGACCATAATTTTCTTATCTCCACCCTTCTGAGTTTTTTCATATTAAAAAATTACATATAGTGTCTAGGGTATTTACACAGGTGTCTAGCTAGAGGAATTGGGGAAAGTACATTACCTTCCCAGAAGCTAACTTTTTTTTTTAAAGTGAAGCACAGTATTTTCTAATTGAACTTTTAATTTCTAACTAATTGTAGTTTCACATGTAGTTTTAAGAAATAAAGCGTGGTCTCACATACTCTGTGCAGTTTCTTACAATTTTATCATCTTGGAAAACTACAGAGCAATATCCCAGCTAGGAGTTTGACATTGATGGCTAGCTTTTGTTTTAAGTGTTGTATTTAAATCTGTATTTTAATACATCAGCATTTAAATGTGAAGATTACAGCACTTTGGGACTAATATGCTACAAGGGCATGTAAATGTGTCTTTTAGTTTGCTGTTACTGAAATGGCAGCGACAGTACAAAACATGACTAGTACTTTTCACCAGTTTACAAAAATGCTGAAGTAGCTTTTATTATTCTTAGAAAGCTGATAAAGTTGGGAATTTAAGCAGGTTTCTTCTGCAAGGAATTACATTGTACTTAGTTGTGAATATTGATTATTTTTCATATAAAATATCAATTAGTGGACTGTTACTTTATGAAAGTGTGGAGTAAATAAAGCCTGCTCTGTTTTGCTGAAAGTGCTTTGTGTAGTCAGACTTTAACAAGGTGTTTTCCTCAGTTTCAAAATTATGAACATTTTTCTGTAAAGAAATCCATCATTTGATTTGATTGTACTCACAGGTGTGTTTTGATTTATCTGTATGCATTTACTGTGGTCATGTGTTATATCTCCTAACTCTTAAGTGCAGAGAGAACCTTTCTTGCTACTCTAGGTTAAAAAGGTAGAAGCAGTCTTTGAAGGCATGTGCTCATTCAGGTCAATTGATTAAGCAACATATAGTGAAAAGTAGAGGGTCCTTTCTCTCGCTCTGGAAATAGAATTTCATTTTACTCATCATGATTTGCTCATTTCACAGGTATACAGATGCGACCAGCAAATATGAATCTGTCATGAATATGGAGCCAAGTGTTTCTGAATATACAGTTCGTTCAAAAGAAAGGATTTGCCACTGCTTTTCTAAGGTAACAGTTGACTTATTCCCAGAACTGTAAGAACTTGACTTACGGAATAACAACCGTAAATCCTTTTCTCACATTTACTTTTAGGACGAGAAGCCTGTTGAAGCTATTCGAGTGTGTTCGGAAGTTTTACAGATGGAGCCTGACAATGTGAATGCTCTGAAAGATCGAGCAGAGGCCTATTTAATAGAAGAAATGTATGATGAAGGTAAATCTTTATGGAATTTGACTTATGATGTCTAAAAGTTATGTGTGCAGTTAGCATATGTTTAACGTCCTTTTGTTTAGAACAAGTTTACCAGAATATCTGGAAATGTTGGCAATTTTAGGAAAATGGCAGAGAACCTGAAACTCATTCTTTGTTAGTGAAACATGAAAAGTATACCATATGAGGACAGAGTTCTGCTGTTGAAGCCAATAGAGTGGAATATAAATAATAAAAGTTTTAGCTTCCTTTGTAGACAAGTTAGAGAAGATGAATAACAAAACAGAAGACTTACTGTAGATCTCATATCATCCAAGGGTAATCACCGCTCATTTTGGATTTTTATCTTTCAGACTTTTGCCCATGCATATGTATATATGTGTGAGTGTGTATGAAATACATATTCTATCCATGTAGCAGTATACATATTATATATACAGCAGATAAATACGTGACATATATGTCTAAATATAAAATGAGCCTCTGTGACGCCTAAGCGGCTTAGTAAATGTTAGGATGGCTGCTTTATCCTACTTGGTTCAAGTTGAGGTAGCCGAGTTTCCTGCTAGATGTTGTAAGGACCTTGGGTAAAGACAGTGCCTTATATTTGAAAGGTAACTAATACAAATACAGTGACTGTATAGAATCATTACATATATATTGTTTTGTGGCTTTTTTCATGTGACAATATGCTGTGAATATTTAAATGAGAGCCTTATGGCCCTTATTGAAAAGTTTTTGTTTCAAATCAGGTGAAGCATTTTAAACTGAAAACAATGTTTTTTTTTGGTGAAACTTGGTTTGTGGTCCTGTTTTTTTCCCCCCAATTAATTGCCGCCTATTTATTTAATGAAGGGTGCAGCTGTTATTTTAAACGTAGTAAGAATGCATCACAGCAATGATACAACCTATACTAAGAAATAACTACACTTACAAATGAAAAAAGGTTTATAGTACTCATTTTCAAGGCAAACTGATCGTTTACTTTTTTCCTGCTTTCTTCAACTTGAGAAGAACCTTGTTTCTAAGTAGTTCCCTGGGAGTGATGACTTTAGTTACACTATTTGTGGGACATTTTTGTAGTATAGTCTTTGAAATCTGGTTGAGGCTTGAAACGTATGTGATCAAAATGGTAAGTTTTAAGATTCGTAAGAATGTGTCAACAAGGCAGGTGGTCTACACAGAAGATCCCTTTAGCACATGTGTTCCTTCATTTTTGAGCTACCGTGTGGCTATACTCTAGGATTTTGTGTTCCAGTTCGTTATTGGAACACTTCTTCACATACTTTTTTCATCTGTATGAAAACCCTCAGCTCTAACTGAAATTAGTGATGCTGCAGAAGAAAATAAATAGCTTAGCTGTTTCAAAAAAAAGATTTAATCTTGTGGGCTGCCAAATATATGAAGGCTTTCTATGTTCTGTTTGCTGATTTTTACCTTTTTTTCAATCAGCAATTTAAAATGATGGTAGATATGTAATGAATGAAGAGAAACAGGTTTAGGTTAGTGAATAGAGGAACATGGAGATTTATTAATTTTGGGCTTATGATAGGATTATCAGAAAGATATTAGGGGATTCCACTCACTAGAACCTGACTGTACAAATGCCTCTTCAAACCCCCCTCTTCCAGTTCTTCTAGATGTATACCCAGAAGTGAATTGCTGGATCATAAAATAATTCTATTTTTAATCTTTTGAGGAACTACCATATTGCTTTCCATAGTGGTTGCACCGTTTCACACTCCCACCAGCAGTGTTGCAAGGGTTCCAATTCCTGCATGTCATCAACGCTTACTGTTTTCCATTTTTGATAATACACATCCTAATGGATGTGAAGTGATATCTGGTGGTTCTGGTTTGCATTTTTCTAATGATTAGCGATGAGCATCTTTCCATGTGCTTGTTGGCCATTTCTATACCTTTGAAGTTTGCTGTTTATCTTTGCTGTGTGGTTTCAGTCAAGTAGCTTGGCCTGTTATGTTCTACTTTCCTTACCTGTAAGACAGGAATGGGAATAGTGTATATCTCAGAATTGTGTGACAGTTAAGGAAGGTGATGCTCAGTATAGTGCTCCTAGTAAATGGTTTCCATTATATTCATTTTCAGGATAGTTGTTTGGAACTAGCATTGACTTTTCTGTACGAACAATACTTAATGCGATAGCTGGCTTCTAGGTCTGAACTGTGGCTGCTGTATTAACTCCATTTGATGCAGCTATTATTTTAGTATTGCCAATAGTATCCAGAATTCTGAAAACAGGAGACACCACAGCTTTTTCTGGATGAAGGGCCAGCCTGGGCAAAAATTTGAAATTGGTGTATTTTGTCTTTGATATCCCATGAAGTCCAGAGTCTTGTGCCTTTTTGCTTATCCTAGGACTCTACCAGTGACACTAAGTCTGCCCTCTCCCACAAAACTGTTCTGTGCGCAAAGTTCATACCACCTCCTTGTTTCAGCACTCTTATGCTCCCCCAAACAGCTGTATTTTAGGAAAAATGGCCAAAATTAAGATATTTGTATAAAACACTGGTAGATTTCTATTTCTTTTTTTTTTAACTTTTTTTTATTGAGTTATGGTCATTTTACCATATTGTGTCAAATCTATTCCTTTTTTAAAAAAATATTTTTATTGAAGTATAGTGAGTTTACAGTCTGTCAGTTTCTGGTGTGCAGCATAATACTTCAGTCATACAGGAACATACATGTATTCGTTTTCATATTCTCTTTCACCATAAGTTACTACAAGATACTGAATATAGTTCCTTGTGCTATACAGTGTAAACTTGTTGTTTATCTATTTTATGTATATTAGTATCTGCAAATCAAGAACTCCCAATTCTATTCCTTTTGATAAGAGCATTTTTAACCTCAAAGAATATCAGATTAACGGAACTTCAGGCAAGTGCCTGTGACACCACACACACTGGGCAGCATTAGCGGGGCAGGTTTGGGGCTACAGGGCTCATCCCTAGGCAGGAAGGAGATCGTTCTCTCTGAGTGAGTTAGATTTCTCATGTCTGCTGCGTTTTCAAGTTTGTGGCTAGGGGCCCTTGGCTCCTAATATAGGGAGGAGAAGGGGAAAAGGTTGGTCTTCATTGGAAAATGCTGGCTCTAGTTAGGATTATACCTAAAGTTAGTTTCCTCATCATTTGCTGAGATGGATGAGTTGTTAAGAACTTTAATTACTTGTTGTGGAAATTGCAGACTTTCCTACCTTTCCCTTTAATACTGTCCATTTTTTTCCCTGTGTACATTTTGAAGCTCTGCTTTTAGCAGCCTACACATTTATGACTGTAAATTCTCCTGATGACTTCCTCTCCCCATCTTTCCCTCAGTTCCAAAAGGGAGCATTGCAATATTCTCAAAAAATTATGAGGAAAAATGATTTTTAACCCAAACTATTATTTATAACAAACTGTTAGGGTCGTTTTTTGTACTTATTTGGAGGTTTTCCTTTTTTAGTGTTATAGAGTCTCCATGGAAAGTGTGCTGCTTTATTGGGACGTGGATTTTTCACAACTTTCTGAAAATTGTTCTGCTTGGATTTTCTGTCTCTTTTGGACTTGGTGTGAGTTACTCTCTTGAGTCGTCAAATTTATTTGTACAGAATTTAGCAAAGTAGTCTTGTTATTTTAATTTCTCCTGTCTTTATGATTTTTCTCACTTATTTCTTATTTTTTGTATTTGAGCTAGCTTCCTTTTCTTGACTAGGTTAGAGATGTTTATTGATTTTTGTCAAGAGATAAGCTTGACTTAACAAGTTCTGCTCTTTTTTTGGTTTCATTAATTTCTGTTTTTGTCCTACAATTCACCTTCAGTTTTTTCCCTAGGTTTGAATCTCATGATTAATTTATTTTCTTCTTTAACTTTTATTGAACCACTAAAGCTATGAATTGCCCTCTTAGCACCACTTGAGCTATGTTCCATAGATTCTGAAAGGTAGTGTTTTTATTAGCAATTTTGATTTTCATATTCTTTATCTTAAGAGTTGTTGGCGAGTTTAAAAATGATGCACAGAGTGTAGGTGGGAAAATCCTTTTATTTTCTGATTCATTATTAATTTCTAGTGTTACAACATTTGTGATCGAAGTACGTTTTTACCAATCCCATTTTTTGAAATTTATTACTGTTTTCTTTTTGACCTCAAATGGCTGACTTTCCTTGAGTCACAGGAACTTGAAAGAGGATGTACTCTCTCGTTTCTGGAACAGAGTTCGGCATACCAGTCAGATCAGCCTTACTGCGGTCTCCTTTTCTTCCTTTGTTTTGGGTCCACGTGATCTGATGTGAACAGAGAGGTGAAAGTCGTCTTCCTTCACCAGCACCTTTACGTCTCTCCTCGTATCTCTTTTAATTTCTCTTTGCGAATGGTGCTGTTGTTTCATTTAATGCACAGATATTCATTATGTGTCTTCATTATGATTTCTACCTTTTTTTTTTTTTTGCTCTGTTTAATGTTTTAAGCCTAAATTCTCATTATCTGATGTTAAGATAATGAACCAAAAACCTTTATTTACACTTGCTGGGCGAATCTTCGACCATAGTTTTAGTTTAAACTTTTTGGAATCACCTTGTTGTAGGTGTGTCTGTTGCACAGAGTTGCATTTTGCTTTATGATCTAGTGTGAAGTTCTTTTAAGTAGGTGAGTTAAAGCACATTCATCTTTGTTGAGATGACAAATATGTTTGGTCTGAGTACTGTCATTCTATTTTGCCAAAAATCTTTGTTATTTAGCCTTTATTATTTTGTGTACTATTTTGAGATTTAGGAAGGTTTGTATTTTTCTTCTTGGTTGTTTTTATAGATTTACTAACTTAGCCCTCTCTCTTTGGGCAATATCTCTGAGTTTCCTACAGCGAGGAACAGTAGTTGCGTGTTTCCTCCTCCTCTTCCACATTCCCCTTCCATTTAATACTTGTCAGCGAAGTTCTCTCTAATGTTTGCCTGTGATGCATCAGTGGGTGATGTTTTCTGATTGCTTCAGTTGTAATTGGTGGGAATTA